AGGTTATTCACTCAATCAAATTTTGCAAAGCAGTATCAATTGGAGCATGACATACGAGCTCTTCAGCAGAAGAATATGAGTATTCAGGAGTTTTATTCTGCTATGACAGATCTTTGGGATCAATTGGCTCTTACAGAATCAGCTGATTTAAAGGCATGTGGTGCCTATATTGCTCATAGAGAGCAGCAACGATTGGTACAATTTTTAATGGCACTTCGTAGTGATTTTGAAGGACTTAGAGGTTCAATTTTGCATCGTTCTCCACTTCCTTCTGTTTACTCAGTTGTCAGTGATTTATTGGCTGAAGAGATACGTCTTAAGTCTTATTCTGACAAGGGAATTCTTTCTACTTCTGATCCTTCTATGCTAGCAGTACCTTCTAAACCATTCTCTCATAATCAGAATAAGCCTTACACAAGACCTGCCTTCGACGAGTGCAATTTCTGTAAGCAGAAGGCATTAGAAGGCTCAATGTCCTAAGTTAAGACAGTAGAATCAATCGCAGCAGCAATCTCAAGCTTGAAAGTCTGGCAACCATTCACAATCTAATATTCCTACACCACCTCAGGGTTACAAACCACCACAACCTAATACTATAGCAGTAATTTCATCAGGTCCTTTCACCTATTTTAGTACCTTGGCTGAACAATTTCAGAAGTTTCTCTCTTTATAGCCACAAGCTATGTCTGCTTCTTCTTCAGGAGGTCAGTTGTCTCATAGTTCTCCAGGTATGTCACATTCTGTATGGGTCTTGGATTTTGGTGTTTCACATCATATGTCTCCAAATTCTTTATCTTTTGCTTTTGTATCTCCTTCATCTTCTATTCCTGTTATGACTACTGATGGTACTCCTATGCCTTTAGCAGGTGTTGGTTCTGTTGTCACACCTCACTTGTCTCTCCCTAATGTTTATTATATTCCAAAACTCACATTAAATCTTGTTTCTGTTGGTCAGTTATGTGATTCTGAAAATTTAGTCACATTTTTCTCTTCTTCTTGTTATGTGTAGGATCTGCAGTCTCAAAAGTTGATTGGGACAAGCCGTAGGAAAGGGAGACTATATATTTTGGATGAATTAAAAGTGTCAGTTACTGCTGTTGCTACTAGTGTTGATTTATCTTCTTTTCGTTTTAATCTTTCTTCTTCTAGTTTTTATTTATGACATTCTCGTTTAGATCATGTTTCGTCTTCTTTAGAAAATTTGTAAACTTGTGATATTTCTGATTGTAATGGATGTAAACTGACAAAATTTTCAGCTTTATCTTTTAATCAAAGTATTTCTGTTTCTTCTTCTCCATTTGATTTGATTCATTTTGATGTATGGGGACCTTCTCCTGTTGTCACAAAAGGAAGGTCTCGATATTATGTTTCTTTTATTGATGATCATACTCGTTATTGTTGGATTTATTTAATGAAACATCATTTTGAATTCTTTGAGATATATACAGCCTTTTGAGCTCTTGTCAAAACTCAACATTCTGCTGTTATCAAATATTTTAGGTGTTATTTGGGTGGGGAATACACTTCTAATAAATTTGATGAGTTGCTTGCCTTAGATAGAACTATTCACCAAACTTCGTGTACAAATACTCTTGAGCAAAATGGTGTTGCTGAAAGAAAACATAGGCATATTGTTGAAACTGCTCGTTCTCTCTTGTTGTCTTCTTCTGTTCCTAGTGAGTTTTGGGGTTAAGCTATTTTTACTGCTGTAGGATTGATTAATACAATTCTATTTTCTCATATTTCAGGTGTTTCTCCTTTCAAAAAGTTGTATGGGTATGCCCTTGATTATTCTTCATTTAGAGTTTTTGGTTGTACTTGTTTTGTTCTTCGTCTTCATGTTGAATGCAACAAGCTGTCCTCTCGATCTGCTATTTGTGTCTTTCTTGGTTATGGTGAAGGTAAAAAGGGGTATCGTTGTTTTGATCCAATAACTCAAAAATATTATGTGTCTCGTCATGTTATTTTTCTTGAGCATATACCTTTCTTTTTATTTCATCCACTACTTATAGCTTGACTAGATCTAATCTTATTCGTATAGATCATTTTTCTGAGGATTTTGATAGTTTGTTATCTCAGGTTTCTAGTACTTCAAATATCAGCACTGATCATTCTACAAGTACTGACACTTTACTGTCTAACACACCTGAAGCTACCTTCTCTCCTATGGTCCCTCAAGCTCCTTCTGAGATTGTGGATCCACTTTTACGTCAATCCACACACATTTGTAAGTCCACAAAGTTACCAAATTTTACTTATTCTTGTTATTCTTCATCTTTTACTTCCTTTTTAGCTTCTATTCATTGTCTCTCTAAGCCATCTTCCTATAAAAAGGCAATTCTTGACCCTCTTTGGCAGCAAGCTATGGATGAGGAACTTTCTGCTTTGCATAAGACATGTACTTGAGATTTGGTTCCTCTACCTCCTAGTAAGAGTGTTGTTGGTTGTCGTTGGGTGTATAAGATTAAGACCAATTCTGATGGATCTGTTGAGCGATACAAAGCTAGGTTGGTTGCAAAAGGGTACTTTCAACAGTATGATATGGATTATGAGGAGACATTTGCTCATGTTGCAAAAATGACTACTATTTGTACTCTTATTGCAGTTGTTTCGGTTCGTCAGTGGCATATCTCTCAACTTGATGTTAAAAATGCCTTCTTGAATGGGGATCTTCAAGAAGAAGTTTATATGGCTCCCCCTCCTGGTGTTTCACATGATTCTGAGTATGTTTGCAAGCTCAAGAAAGCATTATATGGTCTCAAACAAGCACCTCGTGCTTGGTTTGAGAAATTTTTTGTTGTGATCTCTTCCCTTGGGTTTACTTCTAGTAGTCATGATTCTGCTCTTTTTGTTAAGTGCACTAATGTAGGTCGTATCATTCTGTCTTTATATGTTGATGACATAATTATTACTGGTGATGATATTAATGGTATTTAAATTTTGAAGACAGAGTTAGATAGACAATTTGAAATGAAGAATTTTGGTTATCTACGATATTTCTTGGATATTGAGGTAGCCTGCTCACCCAGAGGTTATCTTCTTTCTCAGTCGAATTATGTTGCAAATATTCTTGAGCGAGCTAGACTTACTGATAATAAGACTGTAGATACTCCTATTGAAGTTAACACAAAGTATTCTTCTTCTGATGGTTTACCTTTGTCAGATCCTATTTTATACCGTACTATTGTTGGGAGCTTGGTATATCTCACTATTACTCGTCCAGATATTGCATATGCTGTTCATGTTGTTAGTCAGTTTGTTACTTCTCCTACTACAATTCATTGGGCAGCGGTTCTTCGAATTTTGAGATATTTTCGGGGTACAGTCTTTCAGAGTTTTTTACTTCCATCTACCTCTTCCTTGGAGCTGTGTGCATACTCTTATGCTGATCATGACAGTGATCCCACAGATCGCACATCTGTTACTGATTTTTGTATCTTTTTGAGTGATTCTCTTATTTCTTGGAAGAGCAAGAAACAATCTACTGTTTCTCAATCTTCAACCGAAGCAGAATATCGTGCTATGACATCTACTACCAAAGAGATTGTTTGGTTATGTTAGTTACTTACAAATATGAGAGTTTCTCTTTCTCATCCCACTCTTATGTATTGTGACAACTGGAGTTCTATTCAGATTGCTTACAACTCGATTTTTCATGAACGAACTAAACACATTGAGATCGATTGTCACCTTACTCGTCATCATCTCAAGCATGACACCGTTACTTTGCCCTTTGTTTCTTCTTTTTTTGCAGATTGTAGATTTCTTTACCAAGTTGCATTCTATTTTCCATTTTCGTTTTCTAGTTGGCAAACTCTCGATGCTTGTCGCTGCTGCATCGTGAGTTTGAGGGGAGATGTTAAGAAATATAGGGTTATTTTGTTTATTAAAGATACAATAGTCCTTTACTTTCGCTGTCTTGTTTAGCTTATATATAGTCTCTTTGTATTTAAGTTAAATTACTTCACAGTATTCAATTGAATTATGTAGTATCAATAAAACACTAGTCTCCTCTTTTCTTATTTCTTGTATTTCTTTAGATTGTTCAACAATAATCACTCTATCATCATGATCATTGATCAAACACAGCCTTAGAGCAAATTTGAAATTCTGAAATACCCTGCAAGGTTTCTTCTAAAATGACAAAAATGAACATGTTAATGGGTGACAAGCATGGAGGAGTCCATGGAAATATAAATGAATCCATTGGTGAAGTGGGTATGTAACCTAAAAAGCATTCATGACCAAAACATCTCTCTTTTGTGCATGTGCGCGAGAGAGAGAGAGAGAGAGAGATGTCGGGTTTTGATTAAAATTGGTGGATGGGAAGAAAAAACACTGACTTGGGGTTGGAGCTAACTACTCTCACACTCTCGTGTTTACTGAGAGTTGAAAACAAAGCCTAAACTGAACAATATAATATACTTATTTTTGGACAGCTGGTCCTCTCCTCCCTGCGCATGACCTATTCTTAGCATCACTTACCTTACTTCATTCCACATGTACTATATATAAGTATATATATATATATATATAGAGAGAGAGAGAGAGAGAGAGGATCAGAAGGTGAGTGTGGTGGTGGGTGCTGGTGCGGCTTGCAGATCTCTAGGTATTCCTTGTTTCTTATGTACTATTTCATACACATATATATATTTTTTAATGTCTGTGGAGAGAGAGAAAAGGGGGGGGGGGGGGGGGGAGGGGGAGGGGGGAGGAGAAGGTGAGTGTGGTGGTGGGGGTGGGGTTGCAGCTTTGCTGATCTCTAGGTATTCCTTGTTCCTTTGTTCATTTGTTTATCATATTTCTTTTGCAAGTTTTTGTTTTGCAGAAGTAGAAAAACAAGGCAAGTGACCAAGTGAATACTTCTTGTGTTTTTGAGTTCAACACAAGCAAACCAGAAAGAGAACTTCTATAGAGAGACAGAGAAAGACAGAGAGAGAAAGAAACAGCAAACCCCAAATGATGCAAACCCGAGAAGAAAGGTTTGGAAATTGAGGCAAATGTCGATCCCAAGCTCGAGGCAATCCTACTACCCCCCAAACCATAACTCTAACCACAACCACAACCAAAACCACCACCTCTTTTCATCACTGTCAACCCCTCCACCACCAAGACCACCGCCTCTCTTCCCCTCCTTCACTCTCCTCATAACCCTTCTCACCCTCTTCACCACCACTACTGCCACCGCCACCCTCAACCATGAAGCCTCTCTTCTCTTCTCATGGCTACACACATCTTCTTCACCACCACCACCTTTCTCAAACTGGAATTCACTAAACCCCAACCCATGCAACTGGTCTTTTTTAACATGCAATCCACAAGGCTTTGTCTCCGAAATCACTATCCAATCAATCCCTCTTCAGCTTCCATTGCCTTCCAATCTCTCCTCATTTACACACCTCCAAAAACTCATAATCTCAGATGCAAACCTCACCGGAACTATCCCGGCCGATCTCGGCGATTGCCCTTCTCTCACCGTCATCGACCTCAGCTCAAACATTCTTGTTGGTTCCATCCTGCCCACCATTGGAAAGCTTCAAAACCTCGAAGATTTGATCTTGAACTCCAACCAGCTCACCGGAAAAATCCCAGTTGAGCTAAGCAAATGCCGAAACCTCAAGAACCTTCTACTTTTCGACAACCGCCTTGGTGGGTCTATTCCCTCTGAATTAGGCCAATTATCGAGCCTTCAAGTCCTCCGAGCCGGCGGTAACAAGGACATCGCCGGAAAAATCCCCGACGAGCTCGGAAACTGCTGTAATCTGACTTTCTTAGGTCTTGCCGATTCCGGAGTTTCAGGTTCTATACCCGCCTCATTGGGTAAACTTAGCAAGCTTCAGACATTGTCTATCTACACTGCAATGCTCTCCGGTGAAGTCCCACCGGAAATAGGTAACTGTTCTGAGCTTGTGAACTTGTATTTATACGAAAACAGTCTTTCTGGTTCAATCCCACCGGAGATTGGAAATCTAAGAAAGCTTGAGAAATTATTGTTATGGCAAAACAATTTTGTTGGTGCTATTCCAGAAGAGATTGGGAATTGCAGTAGATTGAGCATGTTTGATTTGTCTTTGAATTCTCTCTCTGGGACTATACCTTTGTCTTTTGGAGGCCTTGTTGAGCTTGAAGAGTTCATGATTAGTAATAACAATGTGTCTGGTTCAATACCTTCAGTTCTTTCAAATGCCACAAATCTTTTGCAATTACAGTTTGATACAAATCAGATTTCTGGGTTGATTCCTCCTGAGCTTGGGGGGTTGTCAAAGCTTCTTGTGTTCTTTGCTTGGCAAAATCAGCTTGAAGGAAGCATACCTCCAAGTTTTGCTAGTTGTAGTAACCTCCAAGCATTAGACTTGTCTCATAATTCACTCACTGGTAGCATACCACCAGGCTTGTTTCAACTGAAAAATCTCACAAAGCTTCTATTGATTTCTAACGATATTTCGGGTTCGCTACCTCAAGAAATTGGTAATTGTAGCTCTCTGGTGAGGCTAAGGGTAGGAAACAATCGAATTGCTGGTGAAATTCCTAGGGAAATTGGGGGTCTAAAGAGCTTAAATTTCCTGGATTTATACGGAAATCGCCTTTTTGGGCCTTTACCAGATGAGATTGGAAGTTGTTTACAACTGCAGATGGTAGACCTTAGCAACAATACACTAGAAGGTCCCCTGCCTAATTCATTGTCATCTCTGTCTGGGCTGCAAGTCTTAGATGTTTCGAGTAATCGATTCGTGGGTCCTATTCCGGCTAGTTTTGGCCGCCTTCCTTCATTGAACAAGCTTATTCTGAGCATGAATTCATTCTCAGGACCTATTCCTCCGTCCCTCGGCCTCTGTTCCAGTCTCCAGTTGCTTGATATTAGCAGCAATCAGCTCTTGGGCAATATCCCAATGGAGTTGGGTAAAATTGAGGCCCTTGAGATTGCTCTCAACCTCAGTTGCAATGGACTCACCGGGCCTATCCCGGCTCAATTCTCTGCACTCAGCAAGCTTTCAATACTAGACCTATCACACAACAAGCTTGAGGGGAATTTGAGTCCACTTGCTGGGCTCGACAATCTTGTCTCTCTCAACATCTCTTACAACAACTTTACTGGGTATCTCCCTGACAACAAGCTCTTTCGACAGTTATCGGTCTCAGACCTGGATGGAAACCAAGGCCTGTGTTCATTTGGTCGTGACTCATGTTTCTTAAACAATGTTGCTGGAACAGGAGTACAGAGAAATGGAAATGGTGTAAGTAAGTCAAGGAGACTTAAACTAGCAATTGCATTGCTAATCACTCTGACAATTGCTATGGTCCTCATGGGAACAATTGCAGTGATTCGAGCACGAAGGACTATAAGAGGTGACGATGATTCAGAAATCGGGGAGTCATGGCCTTGGAAATTCACTCCATTCCAGAAGCTAAATTTTTCGGTTGAGCAAGTTTTGAGATGTCTTGTTGATTCTAATGTGATTGGAAAAGGGTGTTCAGGGGTTGTCTATCGTGCAGATATGGACAATGGTGATGTTATTGCAGTGAAGAAGCTTTGGCCAACAACAATTGCTGCAGCCAATGGCTGTAATGACGATAAATGTGGAGTTCGAGATTCCTTCTCTGCAGAGGTGAAAACACTCGGGTCAATCCGACATAAGAACATCGTTAGATTCTTGGGTTGCTGTTGGAATCGAAGCACAAGGTTGCTCATGTATGATTACATGCCTAATGGTAGCTTAGGTAGCCTCCTACACGAGAGGAGTGGAAACCCTTTGGAGTGGGAATTGAGATACCAAATTATGCTAGGAGCAGCACAAGGCCTTGCTTATTTACACCATGATTGTGTCCCTCCAATTGTTCATAGGGACATCAAGGCCAATAACATACTCATTGGTCTCGAGTTTGAGCCTTACATTGCAGACTTTGGCCTTGCCAAGCTCGTCGATGATGGTGATTTTGCTCGGTCCTCCAATACCGTAGCAGGTTCCTATGGATATATTGCTCCTGGTAAATATATACTTAATGCTTCGACGTAGGCTTTATAGACATAAATGGAAGCTAATTTCATGATCTTGTGCTAATTTTGTGATTTTTTTTTTTCAGAATATGGATACATGATGAAGATCACACAGAAAAGCGATGTCTACAGCTATGGTGTAGTCATGTTAGAAGTGTTGACTGGTAAACTACCAATCGATCCAACGATACCAGACGGTCTCCATGTCGTTGATTGGGTAAGACAGAAGAGGGGAGGCAATGAAGTTCTTGAACCAAGCTTACTATCCAGACCTGAAGCCGAGATTGAGGAAATGATGCAAGCATTAGGCATAGCATTACTATGTGTAAATTCATCCCCTGATGAAAGGCCAACAATGAAAGATGTGGCAGCAATGCTCAAGGAAATCAAGCATGAAAGAGAAGAGTATGCAAAAGTTGATGTGCTCCTCAAGGGATCTCCGGCCACCACCGACACGTCGGAAAATAAGAACTCCGGTGGAGTTCCAGCAACATCATCATCCACAAAGGCAATGAGAAGTTTGTACCCAAAAAGCAATAACACAAGCTTCTCAGCATCCTCGTTGCTTTACTCATCATCTTCCTCTAATACCAAAATGGGATTCAAGTGATCATAAGATAATTACACTTTGCTAAAGCTAAAGCATTGAAGAAGTTTGTCATCTTGGTTTCGAATTTCTTTGTGTTTTTAATTTTTATGTAAAGAAGAAAAGGTTGATATTGGTTATTATAACTATTTGTTTTTTTTTTGTTCAACTGTAAGGGTATCTAAATCAATTTATGCGTATCTCGATTGATTTTTTTTCCGGTTCGATCAAATGTAAACTATCTGCATCTAAACTAAAATATTCATGAGAGATAAATCTCTCGTAACTTAGTCCAAGGGTTGCCAATATGTTATTATAACTATATTCTACATGTTAAATTCTCCTCCGGGTTTCCAGTTTCAATTATAGGTCTCAAACATAATAGTGGGGCCCATGTAGAATTATCATTTTGCATGACAGATACCTCACAAGTTGAATCAACCTTCATAAAATAAAGTTTGGTTCAACGCATCGGTACAAAATAGTATATGAAAGTTTGGTTCAACCGATCAATCTATGTGGTTGTGGTAGATTGAGTTTCACTCTAAAGTTTGGCAAGGATGGTAAACATGAATAAGAGATGATGTTATATACAACTCAAATGTTCTAAATGATAGAAAAAAGTTTTATTCACGTTTTTATAATTAGGTCTAAATTCAGCAACATTTTTTGTTTCTTCTGAAATTTCATTGCACTCGCTTGTAAAATCTATTGTTGAATTAATGACATCCCCTGTCATTAACATCTATCTCTGACATGTTGAAAAGTGGAAATCATGACTTAAAATTTGTGTATTATGTAGATATGCCCTTTAGTCTATCAATTTTTAATACGTAAAAAAATATATTTTTTAATTAATTTTAATTTAAATAGATAAAAAAAAAAGTTTTAATTAGCTCGAATTAAATTTTAATTAGTCCAAATTTTATTACATAAAAAAATTTAGAAAACAAAAAAAGCCTTATTGAAAATATGTCTATCTACGTAGAATATGGATGAAGTTTTCTCAATATGCTATTTGATGCACGTAAGACATTAAGATAAAATAGCATTTTCTGTTAATGTCGTTACCCGACAATCTCTGATGAGGGGTGTGAGTGAAATTTCAAAAGAAGGAAGGGGATCAAACACTAATTAGATCATTGGATAAAAAAATTTTATACTCCAAGGGACAAATCTCAAGAAGAACTCTATAAAATAGTTCATGCTACTGAAAGTTCATGTGATTGATTTGACATCTTGGTGGTACAGGAATGAGCGGTGCCTGTAACACCCTACATGTTTGCCAATTGTTAAAAGGTGTTTCATTGAAAGGATGTTTCTTAAAACAAGCTTTTCCTATGCAATGGAATGTTTTGAAAGATTTTGCATTCAAAGTGTGTTTTCAAAATGAGAAACACTACGAAATCAAAAAATAAAATTTCGATATCATATTCAAAAGTAAAAGAAAAAATCCAAAAAAATTATAAGTTTTATCTAAAAAATTAGTAAGTAAATTCAAAAAATAATAAGTGAACCCAAAAAAGCGAGTGGACACTAAAATTTACTAAGCTCCACCTAGATAGTCTTATAGATACCTAAAAAAGTGCAAAATGATATGGTATTGAATTTTTTTTATAGCATATTAAAATTTAGTGTTGTGAAAAGCGAGTCTAGACGAAAAGCGAAGCGAAACGAGCATTGATCGCTTTGAACATCCAAGGCGAAACGAAGTTAAATAAAACGAAGAAAAAACGAACTTAGGCGATGAAGCAAGCCAGACGAAAAAAGTGAACGCTTACCTGCAGTTTTTTTTTATTTTCTTTTCCTTCTCCTTCTTCTTTAATATTAACCAAACCCTAGCAGAGATTATATTATATGTGTATATGTATAAAATAAATTGATTAATTCATGTAATAGTATCATATGACAATCTGTCTAATTATGATTATATAATGTTAAATGCTGTGTTTTGAGGTGAATGCTTTTGTTAATCAATTTACTTGGTTAATCAAATTGATTAAACAATTTTCTATATGCTCTATTTGATTAATTAATTTGTGAGTGCTTTGTTTAGTGGTAATAACAATCAATCACGGTAGAAGTCGAACCAACATTTGCTAACTTTACATTTAGATGACGTGATTGTGTCAATTGATTATTTCTAAAATACAATAATATTCAATATTTAATATCTTGTCTATTTAAAATATTTTGATGTTTATTTTTTTAATTGTATTTAAATATTTTATATGTGTAAAGTTAAAACTTAAAAATTTTGGAGTAATCAAAGTATGAAAGTAAAATATTTACTTATTTTTTATATTGTTCGTTTTGCTTTAATGAAGCGCTCGTCTCACTTCTCGCCTAGGCTCTCAGAGGATCGGTTCGCTTCGATTCGCTTGACGTCTTAAAAAATACTCAAACTCTTTCAAAAAATGTCTTTTTAAAAAAAAATGATAATTTAATAAATAAGTGGGTTTAAAATACGATAAATAAATCAATTTCACAAGATCTGATAATTTATCTCGGGATACAATGGCATTGATTCCTTATACCTGCAGTCTGGTGATCAGCTCTCACTTTTTCTCATTCCCCAAATTGGTAATAAGTTTGAAAGAATTGAATCCCATACTGCTCTCAACAGTGTTCCTTTTCAAGATTTTGGGCTGCTGTGGGTACCTTGTCCCGGCTGCAGCTTTCTTGGTCAAAGGATAACTGTGCAGTACAACCCATTACTTGTCTGGAAAAATGTTACCAACCTCAAATTAGTAGACTTCAACTGTGCATATAAAGTATAAAGGGTCGATGAAAACGTCGAGAAATGGAATGCAGTTTGAAGCATGGTCCAGAGTTTTCACTTTTTAGTTTTTACTGACTGAATGATTCTGATTTTTGTTGGTATCATGTCTGAACACAGTGGTGTTAAAAAATGTTCAATGATAAAAGTTGTTGAGTTCCATTAGAAAAAAGTTAACCAACTGATCGAATCATTGGCATTAATTTGATAAACATAGTATTTACACCCAATAATAGAGACTTAGACATGCTCACAATTCAGAAATACGTCAAATACATAATACTCATTCTGTTTTTGAATATCTGTCGTTTAAGGTTTTTATACAGAAATTAAGGAAACAATTAAATAGCTTTAATATGAGTAAAAAATAATTACACAAAATTAAAATATCCTTATTTAATACGTATTGGGAAATAAAGGAATATGAAAGACACTTAGCCTCCACCAAATCTAATGCATTGAAAAATTAAGTGTAAATTGAGAAGAAAAAATATTAATTATATTTTGATTTCATTAAACGAAAGATATTATAAAACAAAAAAATTGTGTAAAACGATAAATATTTAGTAACGAAAAAAGTATTACTTTTATTTATAATCACATTTAGTGGAGTTCGTGTTGTATATTAGTTGTTTAAAGTAGAGTTTGCATTGGGCACCATTCACATTTAGTGGAGTTAGTGTTGCAGACACCATTTGCTCTCTTGTGCCATTAGAGTGTCATCCCCTATAAAGGAATTATAGGTGAGAGACTTGTACTTTCAGCAGTGTAGCTGACCATGTCTATCACATATTCACTGGTCTCTGCCTCACTTCTTTTGCCCCTTCTTTAACGGCCTCTGCTGCTTTTTTGACTTCTCTTGCCCCTTCTATGTCTGATTTGGACTCTTAATGGTCATTTATGCTCCATAAGTAAATGTGCCATGACATCAAACTCTAGGTGAACAGATTGCCAAAGACCATCGAGACGTATTTATTTATTTTTTTTATGGTTGAAAAAGGTATGGGAATAAAATAGAGCATCTAGAGACTACTTTCGATATTTTTTCATCGATAGAATCATGAGACTCTTGACCTCGCTTATTATTTCTCTTGAAAATTAATTTAACTAAACTAGTATAACGGTCAACTATCGAGCTTTAATGTAGACTTCAAAACTCGATCCTCTAACCTCAGGATGAAGAGGTCGGCTGATATCCCACTAGACCACCCCACTCATTAGTAGACTTTCAAGAAATTATCCTTACTAGGATATTGGATTATATACGATAGGCGATCTATCATATATATATATATATATATATGCTCAGATATTCCACAATAATAAACAATAAATATTAGAAATATAGGATTTTAATTTGAATATTTCTCTCTATTATATGTTTTCTGGCAAAGATGAACAATTACTGAAATCTCTTTCTGCTTTCCAACACGTGAAAAGTGCAATAATGTTCATACTTTTCCTTGGATACAAGACGCAATAGACTATCCATTGGCAACGTATTTTTGTTATTTTCGACAATAAACCAATTTTCGTCCCTTGTACTTTTCATACTTCTTATTTATCGGAAGAACTGAACATTCGTAGTGCTAGTGTAATCAATGAATCTTTGATCTAATGTTATTTTTTATTTTGTGAAGATTTTATTTTCTTAAAATCAAGGATTCAAAGTCCCCTCATTTTCCAAAAAGGTTTGTGCTAGTGGAATGAAATAGTTTGACGTTAGCCCCAGGTTTAGTAACGCCCATTTATTTTCAGACCCCCTAGACAACCATATGGAGAACAACCCCCATGTGTTGTGAGGCCCAATGTTTTTGGTGGCCCACCTAGAAAGCTTTTAAAAGAGCAATTCTTTCCTTTTGACATGGCTGGGGGCCTTAATGCTGATTTATTTGGAACTACTTTTGGGGATAGATAGATGTCCAATTTGGAACTTTATCATGTTTTTAATTTTGGAGAAAAATGGAATGTGGTACACAAATTCAGATTTATTTAATTAAAAGGGTACTAATGAAATTTTATTGGGCATAAGTGCATTTTGATGGAAAAAGACCAAAAACTCATTCTAAAATAGTAACTCTTCCAACAACCGGTTTTTGTAAGCAATTATATCACAATTCAGATTGAACGTTTTGGTTATCGTGAAGCCCTCAAATTCCGGACAGATACACCCAAAAATCAAGTGTTTTCCTTCCTTGTTCTTCATCTTTTTGAATTGGGAAATATTATAGCATTGATTTCAGAA